TGTACTTCCGGGTTAACTAGTAGTGAACACTCATTTTTCATCCACCTACCGTGACTAATATAATATTTTACATTGCAGAGAAACATATGCCGCATAACAAACTATATTAGGATTTTTGTCAGAACCTATGAGAATTATTTCTCTGAAAGCTGTCCAAATAACGAAGAGGGCTTATGGTATGAAGTGTCTCGAGAAGCAATAGTTGAGCTATGTTTAGACTGTGACAAAGAAATTTATCCACTCGATCGTCTTGGAAAGGTCTCCATACACAAAAAGCTATTGTATGATGAACCAGATTACACTCACGAATTGTATTTTGTTGAATGTGATGAGAATTTGAAAAAAACTGTTAAAGTTGAGGAGTATTCATCTTGTGTATCGCAGTAAAAATAAAGGTTCTGTCAAACTCCCAAATTGATTTTTCACTTTCTGTTTGAGCCTAATGAAAAATAACTGTTTGATTCCACCACACTAGAATTTCTAATTTTAGATTTTAGTGTACTTTTGCCTCAAATTTTGAGAATGGCATGAAAATATCAAATCCTATTATGATTCTAGTTCTAGACTAGATAAGAATAACACATTTTTAAAATAATACTGATTTGGAAAAACTAACCTACCTAAATATTTCTGGTTTTATTTAATCCACAAAACCTGAACCTTTGCGAAAAATTCAATTTTTAATTAAATATCTTAATTCAATAAATTGCATTCCTGACGGGCGTCTGCATCAACGTCCACCGACTGATTCTACGTCCATTGACAGATACAAATACTATTTCCTTACCGCCAGCCAGCTGCGCGATGCCACACGCGGTTCGCGTCGTACGATCGTCGCCATTCACTTCGCGCCGGTGCATCGCGAAAAAACAATGCTGCATTGGTGGTTTGGATCTAGAACCCGCAACTTACACTATACGAAAGGATTTTTTTTTTGTATAAATAGTAGTATCCGAGAAAAAGAGGTTCAAGTTGTTTTTAAAAATTTTGAGAACAGTTTTCAGTGAGTAGTTAATAGTAAATAAGGTGAGAGCTTTTAATTTATTTTAGTGATTTTAGTTCTTGAGCATTCCATTATTTTGATATTTAAAGATTTTTAAGTCGTATTTCCATTATTAAGTTTTTTGTTTCTTGAAATTATCTCAGATGTCGTTGCAGACTTAGAACGATTGGCTTCTTTCAACTTCAACACGAAAAAGCTCTGTGATTTGGAAGAAAATAAACCATATCGGATTTAACACATACAGTCATTACACACTGTACATGGGCGACGGCTTGTAGAATTGATAGACATTGAATAAACTGTTTTCTTACCCGAGCGATTCAAAAGTGTTAGTGAGGAAGAAATAGAAAAGCTTACTCAAAACAAGAACTTACATTTATGCCGGTATGCACCGTTCATTTTATTCTATTTTTAGTTTCCCTTTTAACTTAAGTTTTAAATTTCGTATGCACCACCAATTAAATCTGCTTAAGTTCTTCTTAAAGTTAAGTCATCGAAATCCTCGACTCAAGAAACAAACATCTGTCCTTATTGTGATTGTGGGGTTAGGTTAGGACGGGTTGGGTTTGCTGTAACATACCAGCTTTATTGAACAAGATTTTTCATCCTTTGCTATACTAAAAAATGGAGTTCGACATGCTAGTTGAAGACGATTTAGATATTTTGGATATTTTCGATTATGGGTCTTAAGGTTTAAAGTCAGGCCTATTGTTTATTGCAGCAACGCGAGATGTCAGTACTGTCGCCCCTATAGTGTGCCCTAACTTGATAGTAAAAAAAAAATAGAAATCTGCATTTGGTTAAATTGTGTGATGGAAAGTTTTTTCTTTTTTTTGCGGAAATTCGAAGTATTATTCTGTTTTACATAAACAGGGTTGTAGTCTGGACCAACACAAATAATTTTGAACGTTCATCCGTCGGATTTATTTTTAAACAGTGTAGCTACAGGCGTATTTCCAACTATTCTTGCAATAGCGAGAAAACTACAAGTTCAAAAAATTTGAAAAAAATATATGTCGCGTAGAATTGCAATAGTAGTTCGTAATAAAAATAACGGGAAACTTCATCTCTTCGTTTTGAAATAAATGGTGAAAAATCACTTTTTTTTCAGTTTTTGCGATATAACTCAAAAATGGCGAGTCAAATTTGCTTAAAAAAATTATGGATTAAAGTATATCAATAACCATAAAAACATATATTTTTTTTGAAATTTTTGAACACAAGGTTCAGAAAATGGGGGGTTGACTTTAAACCTTAAGAATTTTTAGTTGTAATTTTTTTGGAAAAAATTATTTCCAGTTAATGGATGATTTGTCTTTTTTTCGGCGATTCAGGTTGAGAAAACCCACCGTTTTGCAAGTATTGTCTTCTTATCTTCAAAAAATACCTCGAGAAACACAAAACAAAGAACGGCCTAGAATATTTCATAGTTCTATAGACACCGACACCCGACACGAAATAACCAATACATCACAAAATCTCCGAAAAGCATAGAATAACGAATATGTTTTTTTTTTATATCTACGCGAAAAGTAAACAATTTTTAAATTGTCAACCAACGAACTAACCAAAACTGTCAAAGTCAAACTATATAAAAACCTGTAAAAACTGATAAAAAAACAAAATTCATCAAGAAATTGCAATGTTGTAAATTCTATCAGGTTCCTAGGTAAGAAAACAAAATTTGTTGACGGTGCATACAAAATTATTTCTCAACTCTAAGAATAACTTTGCTGAGCCTTTCCTAACGATGAAACGGTGCATACGGGCATTAGTATATAAGGGGAAAAAACGCTTGTAAATGGAAAAATTGCCAACGATTTAGGATTTATTGAACTTTGAAAAATATCAATATACTAACATAAATTAATCTAAAAAAGTAGATCTAACTTGCGTTTTTTGGCTACCAATGATTTCGAGTCAGATTCTTGTACAGAATACAGTATTTGGTGAATCAATGCAAAATGTTAAATTAGTTTCAAAACAAGAAGGCGCATACGGTGCTAAATATTATCTGTCAAAACCAAATTTCTATGATAAAGTAATATTTGACGAGGAGTGTGTTGCTTTAGAGGTGAGGAAAAGATACAAGCTATTTTTAGACTTCTTCTACAACTTTCAACGAGTGAGAGGAGACATGTTTTCGGCATTGGCGTTTTGGCACTTTCCAGGTTACTATCGCAAACACTTCCTTATTTTTAACTAGGTGGAATTTTACTCCTTCGCCTTAATCCAGTTCGTTGGGCGCCAAATGTGCAGCACTTTTTTATCTTTTGGTACAGAGCGAACAGCAGTTTTTCATCTGGAGAGCTGATGGGTCGGAGTTCAGAATCAGAGTTTAATTTTTAGTGAAGTTTTTAATTATTTAGTCAAGTATTCAAAATTCAATATATACCTAAGTATATATTATTAAAAGGGCGCCACGCAATTTTTATTTGATTTGGTTTAAATTGCGAAATCAAACATAGAGAACATCTACAAGATTATTGGTGAGAGTGGAACAATAATTAATAAAACAACACTTCAAATTCTAATAGTCAATAATTGATGGTTATCGAAATCAAAATGTAATCCCAAAATATGTATAGTCAATTTAAAATAGGAGTACCTATGGAGTTAAATAAGTTTAATAACCAGAATTCAATGGTACACTGGAAAAAAAAGCCCAAAAATTCAAATAAATGATGTATTTGGTATATTTTTATTATTTTTAAATAAATATTATTTATTCTTAAGAAATTTTGATCACAGTTAGCAAACTGACTTATCTGTTATTTTTTTAATATTTGTTTGAATCTTTTTCATTTAAATTGAAAAAACATATATTTGGCTACAACAATTCTGCATTTTGGTTTAAATTTATTTTGGGAAAAGAATTCTTTATTTAGAAGAAATAAATTTTTATTTGGGCGGACGCTGTATGTGAGTAGTGGGGATTGGGATCTACTTGTCTTGACTTCACTTTTTTTAATTTTAGTGGTACTATACCTTTTGTTCTTTACGTTGCGTTGGCTTGGCCGTTTTATCAGTCGATGTTCTTTTCTCGCTCGAGTAGTCACAAAATACTCACAAAACACCAGTATTTGTATTTTCTGATCGGTAGTCGGTGAAATATCCCGCAAATATTAATTAGAACTATAATAAGTTACTCTTTTGTTTTTTTTGGTGCACGATGGAATAGCAAATATCCGGCGTAGCCACTTGGCTTGAAATGTGCAATTTGGAACATTTATGGCCCATATTCGAAGGTAAGTTTGGTAGTAGTTAGTAATTAATAGTAGTAGGTAGTGAAAATCTAAAATGCATTAATTTTGTATTTTTCTATAAATGGCGCCTTTTTAGTTATTGCTTTAAATGGCGTCCTTGATGCGGCGTTCTCGTCCTACGCATAAGAGGTTTATGATTACGCGCGACAAGTAACATTTTGTTTCATTTAATTAACTGTTCTTTGATACAAAATCACGGTTATTTGGAGCAAATAAATTTGAGATAAAAACATGATTTGTTTTATTTGAATAGTGAATATTTGAGCTAAATAATATTTATTTTATTGCAAATACTTATTTGGTTTATTTAAAAATAAAGTAACATTTATTTTAAACAAACAATGAACAATTTTTTTTTTTTTTTTCGTTTTTTTCAATATGATAGCAAATTGAATAGGTTAGAATTCGAATGATTGTAGCCTCTACCTCAGAGTCCTCTTATGGTTTTCAAGAAGGTTTTCTTTTCCTGAAATACCTATCAATTTTTGGTAAAATGGTGACATACATTCATATGATGATCATATAATAATGTAGAATTTATGGGAATGCTTAATCTAGAATATTTAATTTGCTTAAATTGTCTATTATAATTTTGTTATCAATAATTAACTGTTGTTTTGTTTTTGCAAACCTGATGTAGGTACCTATATAGTTATTTTCATTACTATAAAACCAACCGTAGTTTTTTTCATGATTTTGAATTATAATACCTATTTAATTATTTTTTTTAGAAAACAAATTAAATGATATCGAAATTGTAAAACAATTAACCGAAGAAGACATTATTTTATTAATGCAAAATATTCTAGGCGACAAAATACGCTTAAGGCGCCAAATTGAGCTTCTTAAGCAACAGGTGAGATTTTTTAAATAAATTATTCACAAATCTCCTTCCTATGTGTCCAAATAACACAACTTTACTTTTTTGTATTGTGACAAATTCAAATACGTAGCTATTAATTTTTAATTAGTGTCCTTGTGTCCCCTTTAAAAATCATAATATATCATGTATTCGTTATATTACATATTTTATTTCATAGGTAAATGATATAAATATTATTTTTATTCCTGTCTTTTATTGTTGGATAATTTCAGATTCAAGAAACTGGTTCATCAAAGAAAATCTGTCGAAATTCGCAGATGTCACATTTTGGGGGAGATGAAATAAATGATTATCCCATCATATTGATAAATTCACCACTGTCAGAACCTTAGATGTCAGAACTGTTGCAGCTTGAAAAGTCTGTTGATCTTGAGGTTCTTGAGCCTGATGCTCGACCTGCTCCTAACGTTCAAAATTCCATGATTTTACCAGTGATTTTACCCCAACCTTCACCATCAACTTCGACACAATCAACCCTCACATGGGATTCCAATTTTATTATTGCATCGCCAGCATCGATGGTTTCATCACTTTCAAAAAAACTCAATTTAAAAGAACTTTTCTCAAGAGGCGACCTTATTGAGGTAGCTCTAATGCAAAAATGCAAAGTGAAGCCTTTGTCTAATTCTGACAGAGACAGAATTTCAGACATTGTCATATCACACTGTATGAATATAGGTATACAAAAAACTGGATAGCGAGCAATTTTCAATTATGGCTGATGAATTGGTGGAAATTTCTCCTAGAGAGAAAAAATCTACATACTTCCTTCCACCAGTTAAGAAAATGGAATCTAAAGACAAAAATCAGAAAGAGCGCGGGGAAAACTTGTAGAGAAATATAGGAATAAATTACATCTATTGAAAATGTTAGAGCGGAACTCAAACACTGCGAAATTGTCAGAGAAGGAGGAGGCCCAAAATGAAGGTAATTTTTTGTACTTTTAATTTAATTTGGATTTTAAAAAAGCATTGCTTGAATTTTTTTTCTATATCTAGTTATATTATATTATTTATATGTTTTTAGAAGTTTCAAAAGATGCGAAGGACAGCCAAATATGGCTAAAAAATAATCCAGAAATGTCTTCAAAGACAATTTTGCAACACTGGTATCAGTCCTATCCTGTGAGAAAATTAAATCCTCACACGCCGATTGAGAAATATCTAGAAGATTGGCCAATATTAAAAGTGCAGATAACCCCAAAACTGGTAGGAAATTTAATTTTTTTATTTAAAAGCTATTTCTTGACTGCGAGTATATACTAATTCTATTAATATCCATAATAGTTTCTCAAATTGGATTAATATAAGCAGCTATATATTGTGTGGCTAAGTGTTCCGCAAAGGGTTTGCAAAACAAATGATTTTTAAAAACTTTTTTATTATTGATTCCCCAAAAAAAAACTATTTTAACAAGTTTCTGCATAGGAAAAGAACAGTTTCGACGATGTCTAGTTTTTATACGAGTTATCCTATAATAAATAACCATTCCTTTAAATAATAGCCCCTTTAACTTGCTACATGTTTTTCAGTTTTTGTTGTGTAGGGAGTCTTGTATCCTATTATTAATAGTGAAATTACATAAAATGGATTATAAGCATGATAATTTTTCCTCCTTTAAATGTGGAAAGGCGTTTTTGTCATTTAAAAATTTAATACGTCACTTAAAAGTTTCATATCCATATTTGCAAAAATATAAATGTAACCAAAGAGAATGTATACGCTCATTTGGTGACATTTGCGGTTAACGCAGACACTACATGGCAAATCATTTTGATTTCGAGAATGTTTCTACGTCAAGGTTTACCAATGAAAACGCATGCAATTTTTTTGATAACAATAATGATGTGCCTGAGTTAGTCCATCATTCAGGAAATTTGAACAGTAAAATCAATATCCAAAGCTCTAGTGAATGCCCCACGATGAAAAATTCGATTATACAGCTTATATCAAAACTTTACAGTAATCCTTCGTTTTCTAGGAATTTTGTTCAGACGGCAGTTGAACAGAGCCAAGAACTTGTAAATAATATCTTTAATGTCGTTATGACCGAAGTAAGTGATTTAAATAAAAATGATACTCAGGCTGATGATGTTCTCAACAATTTAAATAATATTTTCAAAGATAAGACCTTTGAAAATTTGAGGCTACAATTTTTTGAAAACTCTTCATCCTTTATACGCCCTGAAGAAGTCAAAATTGGTACGTTTACTCCTTTATCTAATTTTAGTTCAACAAAACCACCAGATTTTGATATAAAAGATGCAAAGTATCAAAAAATTTGTATTAAACAAAAGTTTGAACGATTTTTGGAGTTACCAAATGTCTATCACACCATTTCCCAATTTATACATGAAGAAATGAGCTCAGAAAATATTATAACTAGTATTTATCAAGGTAATTTGTGGAAAAAATTACAGGTTAAATTTGGCAAAAAAAATGGGTTTCCCTTGTTACTATTCTTTGATGACTTAGAAACATGTAGTGCATTAGGCTCTAGAGCTGGTTTGTATAAAGTTGGCACTATTTACATATAGTTAGCTTGTATACCTTCAGAAAATACTTCAATGCTGGAAAATATATTCCTAACGTAATTATTGTTTTCTGACGATAGAAAAACTTTTGGCAATGAAAAGGTTTTTCAAAGTCTTATTGCTGATTTGTTATTTTTGGAAGAGGAAGGTATAAAAATATGTGCAAGAAACGAAAAACTTCATATTTTTTTCACACTCTTTTTAATATTGGGTGATAATTTAGGACTTAACTCCATTTTATGTTTTACGGAAAGTTTTAACTCTCATTATTTTTGCGGAATATGTCGGTCTCAATCAGAACTTACTAGAACAGAAATAAAAGAACATCATTTTCCACACCTACAAATTATAATTTGGATAGCATTTTTTCAAATACTGGAATCAAAGAAAATTGCATATGGCACAAATTAACCAATTTTCACGTAACACAAAATATATCTTGTGACCTGATGCACGATTTTTTGGAAGGTGTACTGAGATTTGATATGGCTTTTTTAATTAACGATTTAATAACGAAATTTTTTTTTCTCTAAACACCGTCAATAATATAATTAAATTATTTAAGTTCTCAAAAGCTGACAAGGGAAACGCAATGCCACAGATCAAATCAGAGCATATAAAAAAAAACATCTAATTACATCGGCTGCAGAAATGCTTTCTCTGACGATATATTTTGGCATTTTAGTGGGAGATTTGGTTTTAGAACAGGATTGCAAACCTTGATTGAAGAACACCATGTTATTTTCTGTGAGTTGTTCAATGAGCATTTAAGACCCAAATTTCACTTTTTACTCCATTATCCTCGGTTAATTAGGGAGGTTGGTCCCACTCGAAATATATGGTGAATGCGATATGAAGCTTACCATAGGTTCTTGAAATGTACAACAAACTCAACAACATGTAGAAAAAACCTTTTACTAACCCTTTCTATCAAAGATTCCCTCAGATTCTCTCATCGGCTATTAAGTAAAGTAGGGTTTTCAGAGTGTTTAAAATTTGGACCTCCAAAACAAATAACCGAAGACTTATGTAATTTCGACACTAATAATTCAACTTTGGGCTCAAATTCATTTTCAGTGCAGTGGTTTAATATAAATGATACTTTATATAAAACTGGATTTACCATCCAATTGACTGATGTTGACTTAGTTCCTATTTTAGGACTTATTAAAAATATTATTATTGATAAAACTGGGATTTATTTTATTTTATCAGTATTAGGAGCACTGGGATATAGTTTTCAAGCTCAACCGTTTGAAATTTCCGATTTGAATAGTACAAAGTTACGGGTGTATTCATTTGATAAAGGAATTTGTCGGTTCCATTTAACATTCACTATACTGGGAATGGTAAAACTGTGATAAACACAATAGTTTAGGGCAACGTATGTATTTGTTCCGACACTGGAAACATTTGGATCTCTAAATTTTCTTCCATTTTATTCAACGTAAATGTACATTTATTTTTAGTTTAAATGCATTTGGGAGGGAAGGGGGGTGTGGGGCGTAACTCAAATTTGGAGTAATTATAAATCATCGTGATACAATATTTCTGGTGCAGTAGGGTTTGCTTAAACATTTTCCAGATTTGTGGCAAAAAATTACATCAAAATTTAACAATAGCACTTATACGGAGTAAGGAGGTTGTTTTGCATCTGAAATTTGGCATTATGCCAATTTCAAGTTTTAATGAGTTGTTTACAATAACATTAACTACAAATTTGATTTGAGATGTAGTCCCTACAGCTTTTAAATTGAAAATAAATGCGGGTTGGTTGATTTACATTGATTTAAAGGGAAAAAATTCAATGACATACAAAATATTGCGCATTGAGTGTAATTTCATCTCTATGACAGCCTTAAAAATAGTTTTGACATACACTGAGTGCTCACTAGTATTACAAATAGGTTCCGCTAGGAGTACGTTATTGAATTTGACATGCTATGTTTAGAATAATTTTTGTTTTCTGTGTTAAAGTGTTTTTTAGTTTATATTTTTTGCTATGATACTTGTATTATGTTACACAATGAAAGCAATGTTTGTTTTTCTTTATACGGGGGAGTTTTTTAAAGTGTTACAATGCGATATGTCAAAAACAGCTGCAAATTTTTTTTTGACATTTTGGTGACGTACTAAGTACACGGGGGGACACATTTTACGATATTTTTGACATTTTCCCCTTCACTCTCTTGAGAGTAGTGGGGGGTCATTTTCTTATTTTAAATGGAAAGATGTTTTTTATTCTGAAATACGATTCTACATACAAAATGGAGTCTGTTCACAAATTATTTTTCAAATTGTTCAACTAAATATTATGACTAAAAAGGGAACTACAATAAAAAAAATTCTTATCGCCTAATTTTTAATTATCTATCGTCTATTATGCCTAAGAACTTGTCAAAATGACCGCCTTCGACTTCCAAACATTTCCTTATTCTTTCCCGGAATGAATTTCGTACTCGTTGTAACATTGCTGGAGTCACCAATAAACATGCAGAACGAATTCTGTTTTCCATATTTTCTGGAAACGTAGAAGTCGTAGGAGTAGTAGCCATTACGTTATCCTCTTATAAATCCTAATAAAAAAAAATCAAGGGGGTCCAAACTGAATAGAAACTGATAAAAAATGATTTGAATCTTGCAATTATTAAAAAAAGCTGCATCAGAAAAAATACCATTATTCAAAAATTGGTAACTTTCGCGCATTTTTCTTGAAGCCCAAGTGCAAAAATTCATGCGATTCTCAAAGTCATGACCTTAAAGCTCTTGATGAATTCTGATGTGGTGGGGATGAAACTTATACCTGTGCAGAATTGCTATAAATTATTGTTTGACTTATTCTAGCATCTAAAGCAAGCCGCCCAGTACTTGTTTGAGGAGCTATCCTATGAAAGTTATCCCTGTTGCCATCGAAACTCCAATGTTTATTTCAATATGTCACATAAGAATTTTTACGTGTCATTGATAATTGAATTGTGTTCAAAAAGAAAAAACATGGAAGCGAATTTTAATGTAGAAGTTGATATGTTATTAATTTTTGGAGAGTGCAGAAAAAATTATAGGGAGGCTGCAAGTCTGTGGAGAGAAAGGTTTCCGAATATTCCAAAATCTCATATGGCCCTCAAAAGATTGGAAACCAGCAGTCGTATGGCTGGTAGTCTAAAAGCCAAAGAGTTAGGACTAGAACTCAAACAAATGAAAATATGGCAGTTGGTGTTTTAGGAGCAGTAGCTATTGATCCTCAAACAAGTACCAGGCGGCTTGATTTAGATGCTGGAATAAGTCAATCATCAATTATAGCAATTCTGCACAGGCACAAGTATCATTCTTACCATATTACACTCCATCAAGAGCTATACGGAAATGACTTTGAGAATCATATGAATTTTTGCACTTGGGTTTCAAGAAAAATGCGCGAAAATGACCATTTTTTGAATAATGTTATTTTTTCTGATGAAGCTTCTTTCAATAATTGTGGCCAGGTAAGATTCAAATTATTTTTTACTAGTTCATATTCAGTTTTTGTTGTTCGTCTTTCTGCAGGTGAACAGACACAATATGCATTACTGGGCGGCGAATAATCCTCACTGGATGAGAACTGTACCGAATCAACATCCCTGGTCTATTAACGTATGGTGTGGTATTTTCGAAGAGAGTTATTGGCCCGCATTTTTTTCAAGGTCATTTAGATGGACAGGTCTACGAAGTTTTTTTAAGAAATCAGTTACCTAGATTACTGAACCAGAATATTAATCCAGGCGTATGGTTTCAGCACGACGGACCTCCACCCCACTATGCTATACAGGCCCGTAATCGGTTGAATAGATTATTTGGAAATAGGTGGATTGGTCGGAGTGGTCCTGTCAGCTGGCCTGCTCGTTTGCCAGATTTGACCCCGCTTGATTTTTTAATGGGGATTTATTAAGGATAAAGTGATGGTTACTGCTCCTACGACTCCAGAGAACATGAAAAACAGAATTCGTTCTGCATGTTTATTGGTGACTCCAGCAATTTCGTACTCGTTGTAAGTACGAAATTCATTCCGGGAAAGAATAAGGAAATGTTTGGAAGTCGAAGGCGGTCATTTTGAACAACTTCTTAGGCATAATAGACGATAGATAATTAAAAATTAGGCGATAAGAATTTTTTTTATTGTAGTTACCTTTTTAGTCATAATTCCATATTTAGTTGAACAATTTGAAAAATAATTTGTGAACAGACTCCATTTTGTATGTAGAATCGTATTTCAGAATAAAAAACACATCTTTCCATTCAAAATAAGAAAATGACCCCCCACTCCTCTCAAGAGAGTGAAGGGGCAAATGTCAAAAATATCGTAAAATGTGTCCCCCCGTGTACTTATTACGTCACCAAAATGTCAAAAAAAAATTTGCAGCTGTTTTTGACATATTGCATTGTAACACTTTAAAAAACTCACCCTGCATATTTTTTTGTTATGTTACTTGTAGGTATTAGGTATGTTATCATGAAGGAAACGTTTGGTTTTGCTATTTTGGGTTTATTTGTTTATGTTTTGATCCCTTTTATAGATAAACATAAGAAAAATTTCGCAAAAATATTCGGCACTGAGTACTGAGTGTGTTTTTATTTTTCTGGGATGCCTTTACATTTGTTTAGAAGTACACTCAGCACAGAGTGTCACTAACCCGTAACTGGTGAGGTCATTTTTTTGTTACATAACCGGTGGGGTAGGGTTTGCTAAACCCCAAATGAAAAAAGCGATTCTACTAATTTTAAAATAATAAAACGTGTATGTTATTCACTTTTGAGTAACATTTGTCCTTTTGGAACGCGTTGATACATACTTTCAACAAACAAAAAACAAATATTCTAGGAATAATTCAATTTTACTGTGAGACTGCAAAAAACACACATCAAAACTTATTTCTAATTGCTGGAAGTAATCAAACTAAAAATGTAGCATAAAAAATACAAAATGGCGTAAAAAGGAACAAAGTTTTAGCAAAATTGTATTTCAAGTAAACTTTTTGGAGAGCAATTAACCCAAACTAACCCAAACGACTCCAAGTGAGGTGGGGTTACGCAAACCCCAATTTGTACAAAAATCGTAATATGGCACACCAAGTAGGATATCGCGCGTTGTTGATACCGTTAGGGTACTGACGGACAACAGACCGAAAGCTACACAGGAGGTCGCGGGCCTCCAACCATCAGTTGATACGTGGTAAAGATTCTTAAAATCTGTGGGGTTGGAAAGCCCCACCTCACCAGTTACGGGTTAAGAATGGATTTCGCTATAGGTGTGCTACTGAATTTGAAATGCTATGTTAAGAATAATTTCTGTTTTCTGTGTTATAAAGTGTTTTTTAGTTTATATTTTATACTATATTAATTGTATTATGTTATACAATGAAAGCAATGTTTAGTTTTTCTATTCTTAATTTATGTGTTTACATTTTGTCGCCTTTCATCAATAAATATAGATGAAAAATACTTGCTCTCCCTTATTTTGCCTGTAAACTTCTCATCCTTGGTTATACATGTTTTTGGATTAGGATTAGATATACCGGGTGGTACATTGCCAGACTGGCCACAGAAAATTTCATGTAAATATGGCTGGTGATGTCAAATTTTGTAGCTCTATTAGTTTTAAAGCAATATTATATTATACTATCTTAAAGGTCTTTGTTTGGTGAACTTTTTTGTTGTTGTGCGAGTTCCATACAAATACCTTCACAGAATAACATAATTGCTGTAAAATTATTAGGTCGGACAATATTTGACGTCATAGCCAAATTTACATGGGATTTCCTATGGCCAGTGTGGCGGCACTACCTGGTAGGTACTTGAATAATCCAAATAAATTTCATTTTGAGCCAAATAAATAAGTTACTGTTGACCAAACAAATATTAATTTGAAATAAATAAAGTTTTAAGTCAGACGTTCTCGTATATTTGAGCGGAAAAAATATATGTTTTGCTAAAAACATAATTATATTTTACAACAATAAATATGTATTTGAAATTAAAAGTCTTTATTTAAAGAAAATAATTTTTCTTAAGGTCTCAAACAAGTGTTTTGTTTGATTTTTTTTTGTGCGTTCAAAATAAAAATCTATTTTTTTGATCCAAACAAATCCATATTTAACGATTTAAATTAGTTATTAGGCAGTAGCAAATATTTGGTTATCTCAAACATCGCATAGGTATGACAAACAAATGCACTTTGGAGAAAATAAAAATATTATTGATTAAAAAAAAAGTATTTAAATTAAACAAAAATTCTTGAAAACGTCTAAACAAATTCTTAAATAATGTGAAATAAAAATTTGTTCCGCTAATTGAAAACAAATAATAATTTATTCTCCAAACGTCAAAAAAACGCCACTTTGTTAATCTCTGTCAAGATGTCAGAAATTTAATTTCTATGCTGGTAGGCAAATCCAGCAGGTTAACACCTGTCGAGGTGGTAGAAATTTAATTTCTATGCTGCTTGGCAATCCCAGCGGCAGCAAAAGTACTTTTAGTGCCGCTCGTACTTTTACTACCGCTTAACAATTCAGTTACCCCCGAGCTTACCCCATTTGTTTGGAGAAAAAATAGCGTGTTGCACACGGAGCAGAAGCACTTTTTTGTGCTTCAGCAGTATTGCAAGCCTCACTACGTTCGGCTCGCAAACCTACTGCTTCAGCACAAAAAAGTAAAGCTTCTACTCCTAATACAACAATATACTATTATTACACTCCATTTTTATTTAAGTTAAGTAACTGCTTTTTTCAGTGACGATTTGTTTACTCCATTAGGAGATATGATCATATTTCTCACATTTATTTAGAAATGGACTTGTTAAATTTTGTTGGTGCCAATTCTCAGCTACAGGAATTGTGAAAAGCGTCATGCGAAACCCTCTCGGAAACCCTTAATAATAAATGGGATTTTAATTCGCCCGCAGCTCCCCATTTTAACGGTTTGAGTGAAGCTGGAGTGAAATCCGTGAAGTCCCACTTATATCGAGTCATTGACGATCAAAATCTCACTTACGCAGAAATGAATACCCTGCTAATACAAATTGAAGCTCTACTTAACTCGCGACCGATTTCAGCTCAAAACTCTGATCCAAATGACTTATTACCATTGACTCCTTTCGGTTTCAATAAATATTACCAATTCTTTGTATCCCTTGCCCGCTGCCCAATTTAAGGCGGGTTTTCCCTTATTATCTTTTAAGTTAACGTAAGCGTAACAATGATCTCTTAATGTTTCAACACAACATTACAACATCTTAAATGTCCCCCAAAAATGGCAGTGTGCAAGAGTGTTCTTCCATCCATATCAATTCCAAGCACGTTTGCGCCCATTTTTAACAAATATCGGCAACATTCATACTGTCTGAACGTAATGGCTCCGTTCAGTGGAGTATCACCATAGGCATTTTTCTGATCAACTTCAAATGCCTTTTCTTCTGTCAAGTACTTTACCCATTTCAAGCTTCCATGCTTGGCCATCAAATGCAACACACTAAATTGCTTTACATCGCAACAGCTTATATCTTCAACGATGGGGTCTAAAACCTCCAAGACTTTGATATGTCCGAACTCTGCTGCAAGCAGAAACGGAGTCTCCATTTCTTTGCAAAGTGCATTCACATCGAGATTCGGAAAAGCCTTGATTAAATGTTCTACCCATTGATAGTAGTTATTACGACTCAGGGCACGTACGATTGTCTCTCCATTACTTTGTTTCTTATTCACATCGAATTTGTTGCACCCCAGCATGATTTGTAACATTTCATCATCAGATTCTTGCCTATCGCACAATTTAAACAGGCAAGTATAAAATTCTGGAGTGAATTCACCGCACAATTGATAATCTTCAACAATCGACTTCAGTTTTTGTATATCCCTTGTACGCAGTACGGTTGAAATCTGATGGCCTCTCTCGTGTAACTCCTTTTTTATAATGAGGGTTTTTTAATTTGTTATTGTAATAAGTCTTTGATTTTTCTTTTGATTTTAAGACGTAAGTACGTGCTTGTCCTTGAGCTACGTCAAGTTTAAGTTTTAGGTTGCTTATGTGATCGTCGTATGAAATTTGGGTGTACTAGTTATAGAGCTAGGCAAAAATGGTTTGAATCCAAATAATAGTTCGTATGGCCTATAGTTAGTAGAAGAGTGAGTGTGTGGATTGTAGGCGAACATTGCAAAAGGTATAAGTTCTTCCCAGTTGTTTTGTTTATCGTTTATGTAGTGTTTTAAATAATCTTTTAAAGTAAGGTGTGAAGGTTCCAAAGCGCCATTAGATTCGGGGTGATAGGGTGTGCTTGTGACATGCTTAGTTTTGAATAATTCAATTTAACGAGTTCTTTTATTAAATTGGACATAAAATCAATACCTTGATCGGATAAAATAGTTTTTGGAATACCGAATGAAGTTATGATCTTGCATTATTCATTTGATACTGTTATTGCTTCATGATTCGGTATAGGAATGGCATAAGAGTATTTCGTTAAATCGTCTTGCAACGTTAGGAGAAATCTAGATTCGTTTTCCGTAATTGGAAGCAGTCCAACTATGTCTATAGCAAGTTTTTCGTAAGGCTTTTCGCTAGTAATTGTTATTATCATAGAAGCTTTACTGGGTTTAAAATTTGTTTTGTTTATTTGACAAGAGGAACATTGTTTTATATATTTTTTTTGTCAGTTTTCAAGTTGTGCCATTTATATCGTTCTTTTATTCCTTTATATGTTCTTGTAAAACCTGAATTTCCTGCTAAAATGTGTGTTTTTTTTTAAAGATAAAAGTCAAAATGACATTATGTTGGCAATACAATGTAAAATTGTCAATGCTTTCAAACTTTTTATGTAGAAAAGGCTTGTGTTGCCAACATAGTTACTAAATTTTTGACTTGAGGAATTATCTTTAAAAAAAAACAGACTTTATAAAACATATATCAAAAAGTAGAACAGGTCAAAGAACACGCCTAGACAATACAGCTGTTCAATGACATAATGGAAATGAAAGATCAAAAAAGGTAAACAATTATCATAACCTCAGATTATTTGATTGGATTTGCAAACAGAGATGATGATGGTACTCTCTCCTTTATCTAAGATTCTAATCAATAACAGCGGGCCCTGACGTACTGAATCAAACCTTCCTAGATCAAAGAAACCAAAACTTGCAAACCTGAACCAAAAAACTTTCAGTAGAAGGCAGTACTCAAGGTAACAAAATCTGGGCACAGAAAAAAAATAGTTGTTTATTTCTTTCAGTTCTATATAGAATCATATCCAGTATGGCAAAACAAAGTAGCATATTAGCCAAGAAATTGAAAATGTTACAACGTAGCAATCCTACTCAACGCTATGCTCTGGACCGGGATCACTCCTGCTACTCTAAAACTTTGCAGAACCACCCTTATCCCTAAGGGAGATGCCGACCTGGGTAATATAAGCTCCTGGCACCCCATTACCGCCGCCAACATCCTGGTGCGGGTCCTTCATCGCCTGCTCGCTCTAAGACTCTCTTTTTTAGGCCTCCACCACACCCAAAGGGGCTTTATATCGCTAGATGGCACGATGGCCAACTCCATCATCCTACAGACGGCAATCAAAGAATGCAGAGAGAAAAGTTGGCCTTACACAGTCACCTCTCTTGACTTGAAAAAGGTTTTCGACACAGTGCCGCACACCTCTGTCCAAAGGGCTTTGAGGCGTTTCAATCTCGATGATCGGCTCATCCGTTTCATCATGGGTGGTCTCACAGGTTGTTCCACAAACGTATTTATCGGAAAGATCTCCTCTGAGATTATTCCGATCAATAGAGGTGTCAAACAGAGAGATCCACTCTCGCCCTTGCTCTTCAATATGGTATTGGATGAGCTAATGATTGACCTAGACAAGAAGCCAACAGGAATCACCGTCAACGAGGTCATTATCAACAGCCTGGCTTACGCTGATGACCTCCTGCTTTTTACTCCCTCGAACAGGGAGATGCAGATCCAGCTAAGAAGTGACCAATTACTCTTCTGAGACCTTTCTCCAGACAATTCGCCGACTGTACTCCAATGACAGCATCAACGTCTCTGCAATCGTTCTGGGCGCACGAGGCACATGGTGCGCACGAGGCAACGTGCTGCGCATGCTGCAATTACCTGACGGCCTTGCACGAGCTTTGATCTGCGGCATACTCATGGGCGGTATCATGATCCACCGCCACTTCTCCTCAAACGTCTGGGACAACAATCAACGCCGCCAGCTTCCTGGAAGATAAACTGCGCCTTCAGCCCAATTTCATTGTCACATTAGTGTTTGTTTGTTTTTGTTCATTTTGATTCTTTTTTTTTCTGTTTATTTGTTATAGTTTTGTTGTTGCTGTCAATTTTCTAAATTTCTAAATAAGTTACCTACCCTATCCTTTCTTCCTTCCCACAACATCATCAACATCATCTAATTAGTGACGCGCATGAATATATTAATGAGATTCCCACTGTCCCTACCCACATTTTCGATGGCGTGGCTGGCTGGTGCAATTTTGTTAATTCTACCGAACTATCGTATCTACCATCTCACGATAGGGGTAGGAGGGAGGAACTCTCGAAGCCTCTGGGCAAAGTTGCTGAGCCTCTTTCCAGAAAAATGGTAGCGGTACTGTACGTCTTCCGCAAGAAGAGGGGAACTCGTCGGACGATTCCAGGTTCCTGGCTGAAAGTCCGATGAGCTTCCGGCCAACGGTGGTCGTGCTTTACTTCGAACCGCAACTCGTCCGGTTTAAACGAGGACCCGGAAACGACCGGGGGGTTGAAGGTACAACTCGAGTAATACCCATTGTCTCACTAGTTGGCATGGGCGAAGGACCCCTAATGTCTACCCTATCCCAGATTTCTGGGCAACAGATGACTGGGGTGTTCCGAAAGCTAGTAGGTGAAGACCCCGAACCCGCCCCTTGTCTGGGAAAAGGAACTTACATAGTAAGCCCTTTTAATACAAGAAACTACGGGCCAAGAAGACCACATTCCGGTTCCGGTAAAAAGTAAAAATATATGCCTCTGTTGCTGATTCCACGCTCATGGTGAAAGGCACAAGTATGTATTAAACCACATGTGGTAGCATACTCACGAAAGTGTGTGCGAATCGGTGACTCCTCAAACGTTGCTAGGGGAACCCGGCTAACCCGAGTACCCAGGGGAAAGGCCAGCCCAGCCAAGTCCAAAAACTTGGTGCCCTTTATAGGTATTCGTCTCTGGGGGGCAGTTAAGGGAATAGCTGATAGTTCGGGTGGGCTGCCTTGGACGTGCTATAAACAGGAAGGTACAGAGCATAACGCCTCTGAGTGAATGTCCCTACCCACTATCTAGCGAAGTTGTAAAGGTTGTGCTATGGGCTATAAGTGATTAAGTACATTGCTTAAATCTAATGAAATAAAATACGAGCTTGGAGGTTTCTTGAACCGTGAAATCTTAGAGTTCTTATTTCATGTAATTAGCTGATTCTGCTATTTCAAATTAACTTTTTTTTTCACACAATTGAAGTGTTACTTTTCATGATTCCTGAAAAAATGTTTCTCTGCTGCCTAGGGACTTTAAATTGATGATGTTTCCGATTAATGCAACATTTTGCTGACTGGTTTTATTAGTTCTCACCGCTCACAATGATACCTATTTAGTTTAACATGAGTTCTGACGAGTACCGTGCTGTTCGATATTGTGCTTCGTGTGATTGGGAAGAGGCTCTTTATACCACTCATTTAGGCCGGATTATCGAGTTTATTTGGCCCTTTACGCGAGCATCCTGCGAGCGGTGCCGCAGCCGTCACTTGGCGTCCGTTGCGTGGGTGTACCGAAACGGTGTTTGGCTGCCGTACACTCTTCCGCCACGGAGTCAGAGGGCCCGTTACTATATGCGGATGTAAAGGTCAAGGTAAGCAGAAACTATTTCAATCTTCCAAGGAACTGCTGCATAAGCTCAATTAATAGCACATACTCACACGTTGTTCTTTTTTTTATGTGAAATACCTGCCAACGCAACGCCTTTCCTGTTATAAGAATACCACCTTCCAACATCAAGAATCCAAGATCGATCAACAGGGAACCACTACATTGACCACTGGCATTAGTGCACACACGTTAAGGACAAATGTCTGTAATTTGTTTCAATACCTGATGCACCTGGCGCATTGCAATCGGCAATTCAAGTCAATGCCAAATGATTCTCCGATGCAGTGAAGATCCAGAATATCAGCAAAGCAAAAAATTCGAGACGCAAAGACCTCGAAAATATTGACTAGACGCTGGTAACCATCACTTCTACTTTACCATGGGGTATGAAAATCACTGCCCAAGATTAGAAAATGTCAAACATAATTTCGGGACACATAAGCTAACCATCACCCAGCAGCACCAGTCCTAATGCACCATCAAAAATAAACAAATAACATGACCTTGACTGAGCACCGTCGTGTCGTCCGTCGTCAGCAAAGCAACTTGGCGCTCGGCGGGAACTATCGATCGAACACCTATTGATCGAACTTGGTGTACCAAAGTCAAATACCACAAACTCCGCACCCCGAACTCATCATTTGTTACCAGTGAAGGTAAAGCCATATGGTCATATTGGTCACAACCAATGACATCCAACGCATTCAAATTGGTTCATTCAATGGTTTGGAAGCTACGTCAAAGCCAGATACCAGACGCCGCTAGCAGTAGCAGCAAGCCGGTCAGAAAAATCACCAGTCAAACGAAGAAATCAGCAAATGGCGGCATCAGCAAATGGAAGAATCAGCAAATGGACAGAACAGGAAAAGGCACACTTCAATTTCATTTATCAAAATTGTTAATTTTTTTTCTCTCAGCGTTTTGGCAAGGTAATCAATATCATTTTTTGTATAACTAGAGAATTCAAAACTTTTGTTTTATTTTTTATATAACAAGTTTAAACTTGTTTCATTGAAGCTTTTTTTTTGATTCTCACTTATTCTATCATACTTACCTATCTACCTACCACTCCTGATTTTATATTTTATTCGAATTTGGTTGAAAAAATTTAATATTTTTTGTAGTCCAAGGAAAATGGTTGTTACTGATATTTTTTTTATTATATATTTTTTTTTTGTAGGAATTATCAATAGGAAATGTACATAGGAAAATTTATTTGTTTTTAGTAACCATTAACTTTTAACTTTTAGTTTTTAACTTTAACTTTTGTTAAATTGTACTTGTAACTTGTATTAATTTTGCTTTGTTTTTATAATTAATTTCTTTTTCTTTTCTTTTAAAATATTTGCATTTTTTTTCAAACGCTATGATTTAATTTCTTTTTAGATCTTTTATCACTGGGGCCCAGCTTTCTGTAGTCCGAGGAAAATGTCAAGCCAAAAAATATCACCCCTTATAACATTATTATTCCAATACGAATTAACCAAAGTTCATTGACAAATAATGTCCCAATTTAGTTGGACAATTCGGATGTTATATTAAATAAAGCAAACGCATTCGGATATCAGCAAAAAAGCCTAAAGCCAACAACCTAGGTTTTAGGTCAATGATTTTTGCTGACAATTCTGAATCGATTTGGATGGATAAAGCGTAATTTGTAAGTTAGTTGTAAATCTAAATTAAAATCGTAAAGGTTGTGCTACGGGCTAACGGGCTACAGGAAGATGGGATTCCGGTAAATACCATTATTAAACTTTTATAAATCGTCTAGTGTTCTCATCGGTCATCATTCTACATTACTGTTCTTAATTTAATTATTAATTTTGAAAATAAATATTTTTCTTGGTGTTACAAAACTTGATCGTTTTAATCTCTGAGATTCCCCCGGTCCCTAGTTGCAACTAAATAAGATTGCAACAGTCTCAACCAAACAGGGTTGTGACAATATTATTATATTATTTCATGTCGTTTCTAGGTTAAGGTATATTTTATTCCTTTTGGTACTCTGTTCAGTGAAGTCATCTGCTCCCTGTTTACAGATCCTGCTATTATTAATTTTGTCAAAATCGCTGGATGCTGGTCATAGGTTTTCAAATTTTTCTAGAATATTAAGTCGAATTTTTTTTTTGTTAAAACCGTTGGAATTGTAATCCTTTTTGACTTGCATTAGTACTTAAGAACATGACAATGACAATTTTAAGAGAGAAAGAAAATTTTAATTTTTCTTCATTTTAATGTTTACAATTTTTCACAATTTTTGTGTTATGTTTAATTTATTTATTCAAAATTTTTTTAAATTACTTTTCAACTTTTTGAAAAAGATTTCTCCACACAATGGTAAGTCTTTGATTTTACACTCCTCTAAACTTCAATATCTGGCCGTTGTTTTTTACAAATTTTTATTAATTTTTCATTTATTTCTTTTTTTCTAAAGTGTATTTTTCTTTCTTTCTTTACAGCTAACTCCGGGGGTTTATCTGACAAAACATTTTTTTTTTGACTATCATAGCCGTCTCCTACTGCTTTGGCATCCTGTCCAGGTCATCTAGCAACTTGTTGCACAGGTAAGGGCGAAGTCAGATTGTTTTTGCGATAAATACCTTGTGCCTGAGGTTCTGCTTTTACGTAATAAATTGTAATGTAATTCGAGCAGCATTGGTTTCCTGAATATTCTAAAAACAGATGCCAATATTCCAAATACGTTCTCTACAAGTCTGCATGATCGCGAAAGGCGATAGTTGAAAATTCTTTTCTCGCTTCCCTTGTCGTGGATTCCGGGATATGGTTTGAACAGGAGAGTCGTCAAAGCAAAGGCATCATCCCCCACAAAGACATGGCAATGGTTCTTCACATACGTTTACTCTTCACTTAATAGTAATATTATATTCACATTCTAATGTTTCCTTCTAGATGGATGGATATGATCCTAAAGTTCCAAATTGAAACGACCAAAGTCTGCTAGGGGTGGGATTACTACATGCAATTGATGAGACCTCCGGTGATGAGGTTCATAGACCAAGATTATTTCCATAGCGATTTTTTTTCCCACAATGTAGCACCAGTAAAAAATATTTTATACAACCTAATTACAATCTTTCCTTATTAGCTAGGAATATGCCCAAACACTATATGTTACATAGGCGAACTCTATTGGGCAAACTCTGTTGTAAACTTTGGGGGATGATTATAACTTTAAATTTAATTAACGCATCGTTTCTGGATATGGGGACAATCCTGAACCTGGATTTATCTAGTGTAGATGACTCCCTAAATTGTCCGTTTGAAGATTTTCTTAACACGTTAACTGCCGCACTAGAGTAAAAAAAACGGTTGGAGGGGGCCATCAATATATTTCTTTATTTTCAGATTATGTTGAGTGCGAGAACACATTCTGTGACTAAAAAAACTCGAAATAGTCCTAAGGGTGGAAGTTACTTCCGTGAATCATAAATAATTCACGCAGCCTCAGAAGCAAAATGATAGCTCCTAGGCCACGTGAATTATAGTACAAAGTAGATACATATTTTATTTATTTTTATATTATAAATAATCATTTATTTTAAGTACAGGAACGAACAAAAAATGAATCAAATAATAAATATTTGTTCCATTAATTGTTTTAAAAAAAAAAAATTCACCTGAACTTGAAACGCACGGCCGTATCTCTAAGCCGCAAAGAAATTGAAGGCCATTCACAGATATTTACTCCCCAGGCCACACTTTTTAAGATCCAATATATTGGCCACGGTCACGTGCATTACCTGCTATGCACCCAAAAAGCTTTGGAATCATATATGTATCACACGGCCCCCTGAGCTCAAGGCCGTGTGAATCATATTTAATGCATATGGAGGTCAACGTGCTAATGACCCTGATGAGCTGCAAAGTTTATAAGGCGCTACTTCCTGGAATTAAATAAATATATATACTTAAATATATTTTTATTATCATTATTTTTTTTTTCTAAATTATATAAACTATTCGAAGGATAGGTTTGCTATAGCTGTAGATTTTTGGTTATTCAGGCATCTGATATCTTTTCAAACTAACTAGCTTGCTCATAAATCTGGGAAATATCATTAATATGACAATTTAATTTTATAGCATATTCATAAATATTACAGTGGAATATATTTTAGGGGATATTATTCTTAGAAGTACGGGCGTAGAATGGAAACCTGGTATCATTTTATTGTGTAACTCATATCCATCAATGTAGATATATTAGGGGATTTATTTTATGCTAATATTGCCATTATATTAAAACGATTTTTTTTTGTTTTGCTCGAGGTTACTTTTACTTATTTTTCAAATAACAAGTATAGCATCCAAACCCATTATACACCAAATACACAGCTCTTTGTAATTACACCTAAGGTGATTGCGAAACACGTCTTTGTCAAACAGTTAACCGCACGTCTGAGTTGAGATTGAGTTTCTCAGCAATTTTGTCACAGACGAATTTTAATTAAGCACACACGGACTCTGAAATTACCATACATGGTAAGCATAAGAGGCACTCGATTTTATAGGAGACGCAATTTCATGGTGTTGCGGTCTCGTCACGGAACAACAGTTAGATTAACTATACATGGAAGATGCAAATTTAAAATCTCATATTTCGACGTTATGTGATATATTTCAAAGTGAATACAAAAATTTCATAGGAAAATTATAAAAACTTTTCAGTAAAAGAGAATAAGAATATTATAGTCGAAAATTAAAATGGTATAATCCCATTTAAGTAGTCACGACTATGCTGAATTCGATAAATTTAGAGAAATTTGAAAGAATCTTTTAAAATCTTTTGAATTGCTTTGGTTTCCAGGAAAAAGTAATTATTAAGTTTCTGTAGATTTAATTTTATCCCAATTTTTATAATTGAACCATAAAAACTTTAAAAGAGTTAAAAACGATTTTTGAGGAAATTTAAAAAATTGATTATGTTTTGTCTATACCATTCACACAACTGTGTCAATATTAACTACTAATTCATGTCGATTTAGTGTCCTGATAAATTACTTTCTGGATTTAACGTGGGTTATAGGACTTGGCACAAAGAAAACTCAATTTTCAAATTTGTCAAGTTTTATACACTATTTGACCTATGAGACCCATTCTAATAGTTTGTTTATGCGCTTTAGGGTTTGAAAAAGTACCAATATATGCACGAAACGTTTCCAAATGAAAATGGAGTTTTTTTTGTGCCAAGTCCTACAACCCAGGTTAAATCCAGAAAGTTACCAACTACCTAAGTAAAAAATTTACAATCATAATTGTAAAAATACCAGTGAAAGCAAATCATATGTTGTGGAAACTTTATGAACTAATACCAGTTCCATTTTCCTGGTATAATGATACATGCATCTTTTTGCAGCAAAACCATTATGTGGCTATTGCCTAAAATTCAACAGCACATGATGGTAGCATTCTTTCTGTTAGACCACTAACAGCAACGATGTTAAGAGAGTGTCAACCTTATAAAGACAAACTTTGTTATTTGCAAACATTTTTGGTAGACACTTCTTTCGGAAGCGACTGTTCGAAAAATATCCATTAACATATTTTTCGAACAGTCGCTTCCGAAAAAAGAAAGGGACTTACTATTCAGGACCTTTCACATATTTGCTCTCTGAGATGTCATAATACAATTTCAACTGTAGTGCTCGAAATCGATAATAACGTCTTCGTCATAACAAACCTAAAGAAATTTACGAAACTTGAATGCCAATCTATTACGCATCAACTACCCAATGTTCTTTATGAACAACCAAGTGCAATCGAACTTAATATTCCATGTCATCGTAGACTCTTAGTTAGTTTCATGCAATGATCATGTAATTAATGGCCATTACATGAGAGTTGCATACACTATTTTCTTCTACTCCCATTAATAACCGAAATACATATTTATTTTAAGAATAGTTAACTTCTCAACTGGTTAAAATTGTTGACAGCTATTGACAATTTCGAAAATTAAGATCTAGACGTCATTTGGGCATAAATTTCGCACCCGAATTATGAATTTTTTGTTGTTTCTTTTGGTAAATACTATTAAAAATAATCCAAAACAAGTCTCTAATTTTTATACAAACATTATTCATGTTCAAAATAACTCGATTCCAGTGGCTGGAAAATCTGTATCATAATGAAGTTCATTATGAAACAGATTTCAATCGTTTAATAGCGTATTATGAAACGTCAGTAGTGAAAATCATTTTTGATAACATTTAATAAAAATATATTATCTCACCCTGTTTTAACAGACTTAAATGAATGCCTAATGCCAAAATTTCCATACGCTATTCCTATACTGAATCACGAATCTAAAACCATAGCTGAATCATTATTAGACTTTATTTGCAAATTGGGCATACCCGAAACTATTCTATCGAATCAAGGTGCTGATTTTACAGCAAACTTGATTAAAGATTTGAACAAATTATTTAAAATTCGTCACATTTTATCTAGCCCTTATCATCCACAAACTAACGGTGTTTTAGAACGTTCCCACTCACCTTCAAAAAAACATTTGAAAGAATATATAAATAATAGCCAGAATGGTTGGGATGAATGTCTCTCTAGCTATGTTCACATACAATACTCATTATCATACGTCCACGAGTTTTACTCTTTTCGAACCTTTATTTGGTCATAAAGCAGTCATTCCCCTTTTTTCTGAATAGCAAAGCCGGATTTAAATAGACATACGATGATTATTGCTCAAATTTGAAATTCAAAAAGAAACAAGAGCACCAGAAAACATTATAAAATCAAAAGGGAATTTAAAAATGACTATGATAGAAACGTGAAACAGAACTCTCACTCTAAAGCTGATTTCCTTTACCTACAAAATAATGCTATAAAGCCCGGAACAAAAAAAAAATACCTCTCTGTGTAGGTCCCTATAAGATACTCAAAGTTTTTGATAATCGGACGGTGAAATTATTGTTAAACAATAATAAAACCGCAGTCTATCACCATAATCTAATAAAACCTCTTTATTTTCCAGATAATCCTACATAATTTATCCTCAATCCTTTCCGGACCTTATCGAATGACACCTCTTAATGTAACATCGGGTATCTTTTTCCATCAACTAGGTAACGCGACAATATCTAATGATGTGTTTACACTTTTATCTTTCACGAATATAAATATTCTTGAACAAAAATTGAAGTTATCACCAGACGATATGTACCAAATTTCTATGTCTCCATGTAAAGATTTTCGCAAACAAGTAAATAACGCAAAGATTTTGAAATTCGCGTGTAACGGTACCTACCATGGAAATGCATATAGCGAAAAATCTAGATTTAGTTGTTGAAAAGTTTGTCACATGACAGGACATAGGTAAAATAGGATATTTTAATTCAGATTCTTCCAAATTGAGGGAAAAAACAGGACTATTTGATGGCGTATCTTACGCAATAAAATAGTTATAGACTGTGAGATAGGGGCTGTTTAGTGGAGTCATTTTTTTTCGTCTGGCATTTTGTGGGCTGAATGTGGCTACTTCTGCTGATGAGATTAGGGGTGATTTTAATGCCTGCCACCCGTTCGAAAATTTACAGAAGGATAAAATTGATTTACATGAAGATTTTTTTTTTAATGATCTCAAATTTTCTGGCTTTTAAATAAAAGATTGACATTGACAAATAATTCACCCATGGAAAATACCAGATGCTTTCCAATCGCTGAAAAAATGGGGACTGGTGTCAACTTCCAAGAGAAAAAAAAAGAACCTTCCGCGTTTACATTTTGTCTGGCAAACGAGAGAATAAATGGTTTTGTTGTGAAAATAACACTGAAAAATCGTCAGACGGTAATCACAGTTCGAAATCGAGTTTTTCGGCGAAACATTCTGTGGACAATTCGAAAAGGGGGCAGGCATTGAAACCACTCATATTCTCATCAGCTAACTAGCCACATTCATCCCTCAAAATGCCAGACAAAAAAAAATGACTCCACTAAACAGGCCCTATCTCAGAATCTATTATTTGGCATGCAAGATGCTGAAGTTGCCAAATATTACATTGACGCGATTGAGAGTATTTCGCAACAAAACCATAATATACAAATACTAATGAAACAACAGGTGCATATTTTATCTGATACCGTTAGTGATTATAATAAAACTACTCAACTCCAATCAACAAAGACTTAATGAAAATATCATTAAATTAAATAAATTCGCAAATTCCACCACGAAAAGAATAAACTCTTCAATTTTTGGCCAAACTGTGGCTGATCACTTGAATTTATTCACGAAAATTATCAATGAACTTAAAGAAAAATGCGACTCTCATATTTCTGCAATTTTATTCGCAAAACAAAATATTTTGCATCCCACTGTAATTACGCCAAGATATATATGCGACGAATCACTCAAAATAAAATTGGATACTAATTTAGAATTTCGTTACAATTTAGAAGATTTTGAAAATGCCTATAAATACAGGGTGCTACAAATTAGTAGCACATAGTGCATGCATGGGGATATCGGAAACCGTTAGAGATACGAGGTTGGTTAAATTATGGCAAAGTTGCGTAATTTGATGCTTAACAAAACGCCGTTTTGTACTTTGAGAAATTCTAAATGCTTCCGGAGATATCCGGAAAAAACCGAAATTTGCCAAAATCGTTTTTATTTTTTCCTCAGTTTGTTTGAAGAAATATGTCAAAGTAAATATCACTTCATTGTAGCCACTTTTTCTGCATTACAAGATGGTATCATCAAATTTAATATCCGACGTTTCGTCTTTGGGCCACCATCATCAACTTTATTTTTTCAAATACGGACCTCAACTTTTTTTTCTGTTTTTTGTTAGTTTTTGACTTGTTAAATGTAATAGTGTATTGCAACAATTGATAGAAGAAATATTTCTGGAGAAAAATTAGGTAGGTACCTAAATGGTGTGGAGATGCTCATCCAGCTCATCTTTGTCTAACGCTAACGCATTGTTTTTGTCATAAACTTTTCTGTCTGACACCCAATTTTATGCAAAGCACTTAATAATTAAATTGATATTATTTAAAACATAAATTAAATTTCAGGCAGGCCAAAAATGATAACATTTAAAAAAATTCTAATAGGTAGTTAAATAATTTATTCAGGTACAAATTAAAAACGACTTAATTAAACAAATAGCAAACTAAGGACCGGTTTATCAGTGGATGGTTATTGAGTTTGGCTGTAGGTTAACTGATAATTATCAATTGGTTAACCGCCAGTTAACCCATATAAACCTACCGTCCTTTTAAAAGGACTGTAGCAAAGATTACATTTTTACCTTAGTTGAGCTGCTGACGTATAGGTGCCGCCACTTTATTTGCATACTGTCAGGCATCGTATAGCAAATCACACCATGTGTACGTCATTACTCTTTTGATATTCGGGTGTGAAAAAAGTGTTTTGATAGTGGTTGACACACGTTATTTACAATGAGTGACAAATAGTAAGTTATTTTTTTATTTTTGGTATTTTTCTTGGTATTTCGATTATATTTCAGTAGAATATATGCTAATAGATGCCTAAAAGGCTATTGCTCGAAATTTGATTCAAAATTTTACAAGATATAGTATCATAGATTTAGGCGTCCTTTTAAAAGGACGGTAGGTCTATATACTACTATTGATGAAAATAGAATGTTTTTGTTTCAGTTTTCGGAAAAAGCCTTTAACTTTAGCAGAGCTCTTACATGAGTTAGAAGAGGATGATTCGGCTCAGGTTCCAGATCACATAACAATTTTTCCACCAGAAGGAATCAATGAAAATGATACCGATGAAGATTCAGGTGATGAAAATTTAGTGGAGTTGGATAATTTGCCCGGTGCTCAGCTTAGAGCTGACGTAGAAGTTGAACAAGCTGAAGACTGGGACAGCGATGATGAGAGACCTTTAGCAGACTTCGTAGAACGAATACCAAAACAAATAAAATTATTTGACTACCAGAGGAATAGGGATTTGGAGGCAGTAGGTTTTTCTGACTGGGAAGACACAGCGTCCGTACCAAACAATCTTTCACCTGCCGCCCTGTTTCGGTTGTTTTTCGATGAAGAAGTAATAAATCAAATCCTTCAGTATTCAAACACATATGCTCAACAAAAAAATCGTGTAGGAGATTTAGCATCGGATGAGCTACTTTGCTTTATAGGCGTTCTGCTCCTAAGTGGCTATGTCCCTTTACCCCGAAAAAAGATGTTTTGGCAAAATAGGCCTGATACAAATAATGAAATGATTTGCCAGGCCATATCACGTGATAGGTTTCAATATATCATGAGCAACATACATTTCAATGATAATACTCAGCTGGACAACACCGACAGATATTCTAAAATGAGACCTTTGTTTGATATACTAAACAGAAAGTTTTTTGAGCACGCCCCAGTTGAGGAAAACCATTGTATAGATGAATCCATGGTTCCATACTTTGGCCGTCATGGCGGAAAACAATTTATAAGAGGAAAGCCCATAAGATGGGGATATAAATTTTGGATCGGTGCCTTG